CGCATACAGCATACGTGTGGGTCTGCATACCACTGGTACAAAGTTTAAGAAATACATCGTTGTTGGTAAATGAGAGTTGCATGCTGCTGTTTTTTGTTTTTGTTTTTGTTTTTCTTTTCAAAGTTTCTATCAATTTTATTAGATAGGATTTTATCGCTTCTAAAAACTATCACTTTGAGAAGATTCTCCTAAAACTCCCAGAGAAGTTTTGGGGGCCTCGCTTCAAACAGTAACTGCCCGGGCCAATGAGACTGCGGGTTTGGTTACGGCAGCTGCTACCCCTGTCGGCACACCAGATCCACCGGGAGCTTTAAAACCGATAAATAGCCGAGCACCCGGCAGGTGGAGGCCGGTGGGTGCGTGGGCATTTATTTCTCTGTCCGCCCTTCCCGCCTCGCTCCAGTCCCTTCCCAAGTGCCGCAGAGCGAACCCCACAGCGGAGCACCTGACCCTGTGACCCCCACACTTCCTGCCTGCGTCACCAGGTTCTGTCCTCCTGCCCCCAGGAGGCCAGAGTGGGGACTGCACCGGGACACCTGCTCTCTGACCTCTCTCGCCTGCAGGACAGTCTGGAACTGCTTCCAACTTTAACCTCCTAACGGCCTGCCCTGCCGCCCGAGGGCGCTCCCGCAGTGAGGGGGCAGCCCTCCCCATGCTCCCCTGGACTCACAGGCCTCAGCTCCTCAGAGCCTCCTCCCATTGGGGTCTCCTTATCTCCTGCCCCAGCCGGAGGCCCGCCATGGCAGCCGCACCCCCGCCTGGGACGGGAGGAGGCTCCAGGTGGGCGGGGCCCCCATTCTCCTCACGCCCCGCCTTCCCTGTCTGTCGCCTCCTGTGCACACGCTGTCCTTTCTCTCCCCCACAAACGTCCGTCTCTCGGCCAGCCGCACGCCCGCGGCCCTGTCACTTGCGTGGATGAGGGATGTGTGACGCTTGCGGGGAGCGCTCTGTAAGAGGTGAAAGCCACATCGCCGGGACCTGAGCCATTTATCCCGGTGCTCCATTTCTCCCGCGCTTATGTCTACATTTGTGGACACTCTCCATAAAACACATCACCAGGGGCGCTGCCGGAGCTCCCCAGATCCTGCATAAATCCTGTCCCCTCCACAGCTACCATCCCTCTTCCACAGCCGTTCAGGGAGGAGAGCAAAGCACAGCTCCGAAAGTCAAAGCCATGCCCTCACCGGTCTGGCTCAGTGGATAGAGCATCAGCCTGCAGACTGAAGGGTCCCAGGTTCGATTCTGGTCAAGGGCACATGCGGGGGTGGGGGTGGGGTGGGGTTCGGGTTTGATCCCCAGTAGGGGGTGTGCAGGAGGCAGCCAATCAATGATTCTCTCTCATCATTGATGTTTCTCTCTCTCCCTTCCTCTCTGAAATCAATTAAAAAATATTTTAAAATCAAAGCCAGGCATGGAGCAGTACCCGAGGCCAATGTGACCTGAACACCGCCCCCGCACGATCGTCTGGCAGGGGCCCCTCTCATTGAAAAGCATCATCCAGTTGGGTGCTGTGTGGGGCGGCAATCCGTCCCGCCAGCTGCTCTCCCCAAGTCCACGTTGTAGTTGAAAACGCTGAGTCTACACGGAATCTGGGAAGAAAGGCCATTTCACTTGAGATCAGCTGCCCTTTTGGGGGTGCACCCAGCCCCCCGGTAAAGGGTGAGCCCTGATGGTAAAACGGGGCTGTCCTGTCAGGCGGATGCGGGAGGGGGGACGTCCTCCCCGCACGATGCTGGAGGCTGCGAGTGGCGGGTGGGAGGGCAGGTCAATCACAGGGGCCGCGAGGGAAGATGAAGACAGATGGGCCTCGTTCTGAGTAGAGTGTCGGGGAAATGGAAGCTGGGGACATATTAACGCGATGGCCAATTACTTGGCCCGACCTGCAGAATGTATTTATAGCGAGTCTTTCTAGAGAAAGGGATGTTGTCATTAACAGGAAGGAACACAGAGGGAATTTAAGAAATAACCTTGTATCTTTATTTCCGGAGAACAACATTTCTCAGCGGAAAATTAGGGTCCTGTCATTCTCCTCTCACCGAAAAAATTAGACGCGGGGAAAGTGATATTTGGGAGCACTGGCCGGCGATATTTCATCATTGTTCATGTCAGTGAGCTGTCCGTGTTCCTTCCCAAGATGGATCTGTTCTGATTCTCCCGCTTGGTCGCCTGCTCCCGCTGCACCCACAGCGCCTTTGTCCGCGGGAGGAAGTGTGGCCACAGCAGCAGCGACACAGGGTCTGTGTGCGGCCCCGCGAGGCCACCGAGACAGTGCCTGTGTCGCAGGCTGGGTTCCACGCGTCTCGCGGAGACACACCTACACCGGAGCTGCCGGGAGGCCAGGCAGCGCCACGGCTGTGAACCAGTCCTCCCTCCCAGCACAGAGGACAGGCCTGCCGGCGCCCTGGGACGCAGGGACCGAGCCCTGACCGCGCTCGGCGGCTCTGCGGTCTCTAACGGCGATCAGGCAGCTCAGAGAGCGGAAGGGAAAGGGCCTCATCAGAAGATGTGAGCGAAAACCAGGCCAGAAGAAACGCCACCGTCACTCCCCACCCCCGAAAGGGTTGTTTCTCAATAAAAGAAGTAAAATGTGTGGAGAATTTGCATACATTCTAGGCTATGATCAATGAAGGGTCTCAAGTCAGGTGCTTGCCATCATTTTGGCCCGTTTTCCCATCGGTCACTGGGTTTTAAGCGTGCTTACATAGGACTCATAGTAACCTTTCCCTTAGGGTGAGCAATTTCCGTTTCTAAGGGCATGCGTGTCATTCTAACACAGAAAACCTTTAAAAATGTATATAGTCACGTGTTACTCACATGAATGGGGAAGGTAATTAGTGGCAGAGGGCACTGAAATCAATAAGTATGAACTAATCACGAATTATGTCACTGTGTTCCCTTCAGCTTTTTAACATGTGTGATAAGTAAAACCTACCGGGAGAAAAGTGATTAGAGAAAAAGCACCTAAAACTCCCCCTTCCGAAGCGGTAAGGGGAGGGCCAGGCTGTGGCCAGACAAAGGGCGGTGAGCAGGCGCCTGGGGACGGAAGGGTTCAGGACACGTGGTGGGCGAGCCAGTCGGTCCCCATTAGAGATCGGAAGCAGGGACCGAGCTTAAAGGTCACGTGGTGGCCACGCAGCGCGGTGTCTTCTGAGGCACGGAAGCCACACTGGCCGCCCTCAGCACCTGGTGTTTAAGAGACGTTAGAAAGCTAGATCTAAGGCCATGTGATCACCAGGGAAAAGTCCGTCAGTTCCCATCCCATCTCTGGCCGGAAGTGTGGGCTTAAAGCGCTCTTTCTGACGCTAATTTGATATCGTTGAGCAGGATCAGAACACGTGCCCATTGGACAGAGTGAGTGCAGGGGCCAGGTAAGAAGCAGCATGGCCGGTGAGGCCTGGGGAGGAGAGCACGGCTCTCCCTGACCTGACGTTTCCTCACGGGCCTGTCTGCATCACTCACTGGTCTCTCAGATGTCTGCCTCCCTGGGCTCAGGAGAACGCACTTCCCGTGTGTTTCTGCCCCGGTGCTGGCGTTCAGTCCTGCTCAGCGCTCCCAATGTCTCAGCAGGACAAAAGCCCGCACACGCCCCCGAACAGCCAGCAGCCCCGATGCCCCGATGCCCGATGGATGCCCGATGCGAGCGCTCCTCGGGAAGCTGGTTAGGAGTCTTGCCTGCTGTGCTTCTCACACACATCATTACAGAGCTCCCGTCTTCTCAACGAACAAGCACCGGCCAGAAGAACAAAAATTCACTTCCCCTATTTGTGCAATCTGTGCGGCACATGACCAAATCGGTTGCAGGCGGGGAAGTGGAGGGCAGCATTTTACTAAGATTTTTCTCACTTTACAGCCAGATTTTGTCAAAGATGAATATAACATTTTACACCCACACCGTTTTTATATTAATTATTTCCAAGGCCTTTCAGACGATGACCTGGCTAACATTCACCAAAGCCCTCTGGCTGCAGCAGGCAGGGTGATCCCCGCCCATTGGGTGGAAGGGTGAAGGCAGTGGAGAAGCACCGAGGGGCACTCCCAAGTCACAGGCGATCACAGTGCGGGGAGCAGACACAAAGGTCACGCAGCGCACTCAGGCCCCCCCACTCCTCAGCGGCTCGGCTCAAGGGCATGGACTTGACATGAACGGAAACAGCACCCACCTCCCTCCAGGCAGCCTAACTCTTACTGTCTCAGTGCAGCACACCTCATTCTACACAGTTCCTAGAATAAAAACCTGATTGATTTCCCATTCTTTCCCTCCCACGCCCCCCACATCCACTTCATCCACAAAATGGCCGGGTCAGCGGCAGAGTCCATCTTGTGTGGGTGTGTTTCTGTGAGAATCCTTTTCCTGGAACCTTGCTTTCTCTCTTGCCACCCACTAAAGTAGCTAGTGGGGTCATCTTTTTGAAACATAGATTGGATCTCTTTTCTCCCCTAATAAAAGTTCTTTACTACCCTACCCGGCACTTACACAGGGAGCCATGTCCCCTGTCTCCGCCCCCTCCTGTGCAGCCTGGCCACGGCTTATATTTGACACACAGAACATCACGGTCCTCAGAAATCTAGTGACTCTCAAGGAAGTCCCAGGTCCAGCGATCACAAACGTGAATCCCAGCCACTCTCACGCCCTTCGGTGCTCTGTCCACGGAGACGCACTGCCTTCGGCTTTTCACACCTGCTCCTGCCCTCCCGCCCCGGCCTGGCCCGGCCCCGCCCACACCACCCTCAGCCACGCCCACACCAGGCCCCGCCCCGCCCCCTACACCCCACCCCGCCCGCCCCACCCAGGGCGGCCTCCCCCACCCTCCCTGGGGCGGGTGCAGGCCTGGCCCGGCCAGGGGCTGGGCGGGGGCCCAGGCCGGAGACTCCGGAGGGGATCGCGCACCCTCCGAGGCCCAGGCCCTGCCGAGGAGGGCGGGCGCCGGCGCAGGGCCCTCGGAGGGAGGGAGGGAGGAAGGGAGGTGCGGGGCCGCCGCGAGGCGCCGGCCGGGCGGTTCGCTGACCGTTCAGGGCCAGGTAACGGCTGCCCAGGCGAGTCCGCGGTGCCGCCGCCGCCGCCGCCGGCATGGGCTGCGCCCCGAGCGTCCACATTTCCTCCGAGGCCCCGGGCTCCTACCTGGGCGGCCAGGAGGCCAAGGGCGTGCAGGAGCCCTGGGCGCGGCCGGAGAGCGCCGGCGCCCTGCCCCCCGCCTTCCCCGCGGACCCCGGCCTGCCCCCCGGCCAGACACCCCTGTCGGAAGTGCAGTTCGGCCCCATGAGGTTCCGCACGGACCAGCTGCAGGTGCTGCTGGCCTTCGGCAAGAAGGACAGCCAGTGCAAGGCCTTCCGCCGGGCCTGCGAGGAGGCGGGCTTCAGGTGCACGCTGACCACGGAGATGAAGGCCGTCCTGGCCGCCTTCCTGTCGGCCAACCACGACATCGTCATCCTGGACCACAGGAGCCCCCGGCAGCTGGACGCGTGGGCGCTGTGCAGGGCCATTCGGGCGTCCAAGGTGTCGGAGAACACGGTCATCGTCGGCGTGCTGCGCCGGCGGGACAGGGAGCGGCCCGTGCTGCCCCTCCTCGCGGCCGGCTTCACCCGGCTCTTCGTGGAGAACCCCAGCCTCATGGCCTGCTACACCGAGCTGCTGCAGCTGCAGTTTGGGGAGGTGCGGTCCCAGCTGAAGCTCAGGGCCTGCAACTCCATCTTCACGGCCCTGGAGAAGGCCCAGGACGCCATCGAGATCACGGGCGAGGACCACCTGGTGCAGTACGCCAACCCGGCCTTTGAGACCACCGTGGGCTGTGAGTCGCGGGAGCTGATCGGGAAGGAGTTAGAAAAGCTGCCCACCGCCCAGAAGCCTGAGCTGCTGAATACGATAAACTCGTGCATCAAGACGGGCAGGGCGTGGCAGGGGCTGTACTGCGTCAAGAACGGAGACCAGCAGCAGCAGGACGTGAAGGTCATCCCGGTCAGCGGGCAGGGCGGGAAGATCAGACACTACGTGTCCATCATCAGGCTGAGCGATGGGAACGGGGAGGCCGAGAAGGCGCCCCCGAGCATGCAGTCGGACTCGAACACAGACATCCAGGCGGCGAAGCTGAGGGAGAGGAGGAAGAGCTCTGCGGGCAGCAGGAGCGCGGGCTCCCGGGCGAGCGTGGCCGGCCAGAGGCGCCACTCGCTGGCCCGTATCTCGGCCGTGGACATGGAGGCGCCCATCACCAAGGTGATCAACATCATCAGGGCCGCCCAGGAGGAGAGCTCGGAGCCCGTGTCAGAGGCCCTGGACTGGGCGCTGGAGATCCTGAGAACCACGGAGCTGTATTCCCCGCAGTTCGAGGCCAAGGACGAGGACCCTCACGTCAACGACCTCCTCGGGGGCCTGCTCTCCGACGGTCTGCGGAGGCTCCCGGGGAACGAGTGCGTTCTTGCGGCCAGAAGCCTCGCTCGGGTGGCCAGCAGCATCCCCGCCACCATGTCCCTCCAGGACGACGTGCCGCCGCAGATCGCCGAGGCGCTGGAGAACGAGGACTCCTGGGACTTCGACATCTTTGAGCTGGAGGCTGCCACGCAGAAGCGGGCCCTGAGCTACCTGGCTATGAAGATCTTCGCCCGCTTCGGCATCTGTGAGCTCCTCAAGTGCCCGGAGGCCACGCTGAGGCTGTGGCTGCAGGTCGTCGAGGCCACGTACCACGCCTCCAACCCCTACCACAACTCCAGCCACGCCGCCGACGTGCTCCAGGCCACCACCTACTTCCTGTCCCAGGAGCGGGTGAAGCGCGTCCTGGACTCGGTGGACGAGGCCGCCGCCCTCATCGCCGCCGCGGTCCACGACCTGGACCACCCGGGGAGGACCAGCTCGTTCCTGTGCAACGCTGGCAGCGAGCTGGCCGTGCTGTACAACGACATGGCCGTGCTGGAGAGCCACCATGCCAGCATGGCCTTCCAGCTGACCCTCCGGGACGACAAGAGCAACATCTTCAAGAACCTGGAGCGGAGCGTGTACCGGACGCTGCGCCAGACCATCATCGACATGGTCTTGGCCACGGAGATGACCAAGCACTTCGAGCACGTCAACAAGTTCGTCAACAGCGTCGTCAAGCCCCTGACGGAGCTGGAGGAGCGCGAGGAGACGGAGGCGGTGCGGGCGGACATCAGCGCGATGCTCAGGGTGCCGGAGAATCGGTCCATGGTCAAGCGCATGATGATCAAGTGCGCCGACGTGTCCAACCCCTGCCGGCCGCTGCAGCAGTGCATCCAGTGGGCCGAGCGCATCTCGGAGGAGTATTTCTGCCAGACCGAGGAGGAGAAGCGGCGCAACTTGCCTGTGGTGATGCCCGCTTTCGACAGAAGCACCTGCAGCATCCCCAAGGCCCAGATGTCCTTCATCAACTACTTCCTCATCGACATGTACGACGCGTGGGACAACTTTGTGGACCTGCCTGTGCTGCTGCACCACCTGGACAACAACTTTAGGTACTGGAAGGAATTGGACGACATGAGCGTGCGGGGCCTCCGCCCGCCCCCCTCCTAGGCCCGGGAAGGGCCCGGTGCGGAAAGCACTGCTCGCCGGTTACTGCGCCAGGACTCCGCCGGTGGAAAGAACTGGGAACCGAACCCTTGTTTCATTGCATTGTATCAGTGACTTCTCCGAAACATCGCCTGATTTTGTAGAATGTTTATACCAAATATTCTTATGGAAACGAACAGCAAACGGGATATTTACTGACTTGACTTTTTAAAAAACCAACCTGGATCCACCTTCCGTGGTAATGTTTAATTCCAGATGTTTTTGAAGGCTCTGTATCCGCACACCTTCAGTACACGTAGTGCCATTAAAAATGACACGTGAGGACACCACACAGCACTTATCATTTCATTTTAAACTTACAAACGTTTAAAAAATATTTATGGAAACCTGTATTTCCAGTGGCTGTGCAACTGGCCTTGCATGCTCATTTCGCCACCTGAAATAACGTGTTTTGTGCCTACTCCCTACCCCCAGCTTCAGGACCTCGCCTCACTATGTGATCTGCTCATGACCATTCAACAGGAGGCGATGCAGATGTCTAGCTGAAATCCTGGCGGACACATCTACCATAGATTCTCTAGTAAATGGCCCGGTAGTTGCTCACCTTTCTAAAAATCATCTCTATGCATTCTGTTTACAATGATTGATATTGCCTGCTGGGTCCTTCATAGGAATACCTATAAAATCTCCATAGAGACCCAGTCCGCTCCACTCGGCTGTAAGGCACAAACCCTGATGACACCCCCCCTCGGTGAGAGTTCTTGGGGTTCCGTTGCTCTCATGATGAAGGGCACCCTCCCTGTGGGGTGCATGAGACCATGACAGACTTGGAAACCCCCCCCCTCGCGTCTTCAGCCCGGGTCCTCACCCTACACCCCCAGGGTCCAGCCACAGCGCGGTCTCAGCTCCGTGCCTTTGCACATACAGTTCCCTCTGCCGACTCGCTCTTAAAGCACAGCAGGAAGGAGCGGTCATCCCAGAAATGTTTGGAGAGTTATGCGCCATTATTAATAAAAAATCAAAATAGCATGCTACCCAGAAATACCAAAAAATAAGCCAGGGTATGGACATCGGGAGAGAGTTTCTCATTGGAATGGTGGTAAGTGATGGGCAGAGACAGAGTTTCCTGGTGTGAAACGTTCAGACTGAACTGAGCACCTCACAGGCTTCCTGAGGCAATCGGAGCTTGCCCTCAGGGCATCTTAGTAACTAAAGCTGTGCCACCCATTTATGGGTTCAGTTTCTTTCTTCTAAATAAAGTAAAAGTGGCAGAAACAAATGCCAGTTGCTTCTAAACATGACCCTAAAAGATAAAACATAACGGGAGAAAACGATGACTGTTTTTACTGCCCAAATCTTTAAAATATCAGTGACCAACACACACACAAAGACAGCCATACAAATGAAAAACAAATCACCAAGTAGAAAAATAGTCATAACCAAGGACAGAGCCATATCTGTATAAATAACATTGCCAAATCAACATAAAAAGTTAAATACACAAATATTCAAAGGTATGGACAGATAACTTAAAAAAATAAAGATGAGCAATAACATAATGAACAACATGGAAAAGATTCTTGGTTTGACTTGTAAAATATGCAAAGACTAGAAGGAAGCTACCCTCTGTGTCCATGAGGGTCTGCAAACATCTCCCCCACCCCCACCCTTCACCACCCACCCCTGATCCTGCTGGCGGGAACATAAACGCCTATTCAGCAGGTCGAGGGGGGTTTCAAATGTGCGTGGAGGGTTAACTACGCTCTTTAAACCAGCGTTAGCTCCCAGCGAGGTGTCCAGAGGAAAGACTTAGATGAATGAAGGATTAGTCATGAAAAACAGCAATCCCGAATCCAAACCTCAGTCTGTTAAGTGAAAACTACATACAAAACAGTGTTACATCAGCCTCTCTGTTTCAAGTGAAAATAACCCTGGTGCCTGCTGGGAGTGGTCCAGAGGGTTCCGCATCTGAAGTGTGACCGTAGCGTCACTTGTATGTACACGTAAGTGTAATCTTTGTTATTCTTTTCACACTTTATACCTTTGGTACATATTTAAGCAAAGTAAAGTATTTTCTGTAATTAGCTTACAGCACTTTTTAAAGTAAAGATTTTGTTTTGAGGACAATAAATTTGGGGAAATTATTTATGGACTAAGAAAGCAATGCATCCATGGGAAAGGAAAAGTCAGTTTTAAATTACTGATCACATATTCTGTGTGTTTGTCACTTAGAATATTTTTTTCAAATGGTCTCAATATAATAAAGCCTTAAATGGCTGGCCCCACGCATTCTTGATTTGATTTTTTTACATGTAGTGTATTTTCAAGGCTGCTCATTTGATTGCACTCCTTTCATTTAAACTCATCTCATCAAAATGCAAAATTCCTAAGAGCTATTTTATCTCCCCAAACCACACATTTAAATCTAATTTATGTCTTCTATTTCTTAGTAAAAGGAAAACACATTTTACTAAAAGTCAATGAACTTAAGCTGTAAAGGCCAAGACGGACGGAGAAGTGAAACGCCAGGAGAATTGAGAGCGCCCTGGCCTCCGCTCGTACCCAGCGGGCTGGGCTCACTCCCCTGCAAAGGCCCTCCGTCAGCACCGCAGCACCCAGTCTGCCCTCCTGGCTCCACAGTCTCCCACTCCTCACCAGCCAGTGAGTGATGAGCTGCTCATAGTCACAGGCTTCTCCAGACCCGAGACCCGCTGGGCTGATCCCAACCTCGCCCTCCCTACTCCTCAGAGCCGCCTGGGTGTTTCCCCAGCGCCCCTGCCCGGTAGGGGTCCTACGGGTGGACCTCAGCTTCATGCTCTGCCAGAGCTCTGCCCCTGCCCGCCTGCCTGCCCCTGAGGGTGCCCCGCACCATCTGCGTGGTTCCAGCTCCTCCCAGACTCTGCCTCTGCCCAGGGCCTTCCCCGAAGCTCCTGCTGTCCTGCATCTGGAACCAATGCCTGTCCTGCCTGCCGTGCCGTCCTCCCTGGTGCCCGCCCGCTCCTCTAATCCTGTGACTTCAAGGCCAGCCAACCTCTTGCTGAGCTTCAAGGCTCTGAGGCCACACTTGCCAGTTCCTCTCCCGGGAGCGCCCTTTGGACTCTGGTCAACCAGGCCTAGCAAATGTGTGTGTGTGAGAATGTGGGCAAAACGCACACATTCTCTCTCTCTCTTTCACACACACACACACACACACACACACACACACACACACAGTTATCCGCCTTATATTGTAACTGTTTGTTTACACGTCTTTCTTCTCTAAGCTCCTTAAGGAAATGCCACACCTGAGTTGTCTATATACACTCCATACCTCCCCAGATCAGCAACAGCCCACTCACAGTCTCCATAAGTCTGCTGAGTAAATTAAGTACAACCCATCAGTAAACTTAGTTATTGGTAAACAGTGTCCTCCGTACGATACCCGTCCTTTTCCATGTATCAGGTGTGCGTGGGCGGGCTTCCGAGGCTGGAGTCTGAGGGTCAGCTGGACTCCCTGCCTCTCCGGAGGCCGGAGCCATCACCCCGAGGTGCTTGGACGGTACGGAGTGACTTCAGGGAGGAGCTGGGGACTGGGAGGAATTTAGCGACCGCCACAGCTAGTCCTGGTGACAGCTCCTGCGGCATGATGACAGAGAAAAACGGAGAATCCCTAGGGTGCCCGCAGTGCGTGTCAGGAATGGGCCGGGAAAGGCTGTGTGTGTCTGAGAAGGTCTGTGGTGTCGTGTTAGCCAATAAGTAAAGCGAGGCCAGTAGGGAGGCCCCTTTTCCATAGAGGCCTTGGGGCTCCCCTCACCGGAGCGCTAGGAGCTTCCATCTAGGAAGAGAAAGGTCACATCAGCAAGGCCTGAGCCGAGCCTGGCTAGGCGACAGCCACAGACCCCGAGGGCCTTCCTGGTTTCTCAGAGCCCTCCCCTCCACAGATCTGAGATGCCATCACTCAGCTGCAGGGCTGAGCACACAGTGGGACACCACACGCACCTGTAGGGCTGAGAGCACTCTGACTGTGTGCTCCCGGGCACAAGGAAGGAAGTTCCAGGAATGGCTCTCCCTGGGAGCCGGACACCCCGCAGCGGGCCCTGGACAGGTGTCACCAGGCAGCGAAGACGCCGACCCAAAGGCTAATAAGAAGATTAAATGTATGAAAAAGAGGACTGAGACTAATACAAATTTGATTTCCTTTCCAAAGAATATCAAGCATCTGAGATATAAGAGGTTAAGTGAAGGGCCAGAGAGATGGTTAGATTCATTTATAAGTGATTTACTTTTGCGGAGAGGTTCTGAAAGATTATTTAACTCAGAATGAACAGTAAATGTCCAAGGCCGTTCATGGGAATTAATGAGAATGTGGAGATGGATACGCAATGCCTAACTCGCCAATGCCATGGTCCAAAGAGGAATAGGAAGCCAATTTTGCCAAGGAACGTACATAGCAATTTGCAGATCTTCATATACAAAGATAATTTATTAAACGTGGGTTTATGCCGAAACCAGTTTGGCTCAGTGGTAGAGCCTCAGTCTGCGGACTGAAAGGTCCCATGTTCGATTCTGGTCAAGGGCATGTACCTTGGCTGTGGGCACATCCCCAGTAGGGGGTGTGCAAGAGGCAGCTGGTCTATGTTTCTCTCTCATCGACATTTTTAGCTCTCTACCTCTCTCCCTTTCTCCCTGTAAAAAATCAATAAAATATATTTTTAAAAAAGTGGGTTTAATTGTTTTTTTCTTATAGAGTTGGGAAAGGCAAAGAAAATAAGTTACCCAGAACTATGTTCTTTTTCATCCAATTTGCTCAGTTCTGCCAGAGCTGGCCAAGCTGTGATGCCCAGATTGGCCAGGGAGGTCCGGGGAGGCCAGCCCTGGCTCCGGAGCCCCGAGCAGATGCCCCTGCGCACTGAGGGCTGTCAAAGCAAAACATGCACACAGGCTGCATGGAAAATAGAGCTGTTTATTCCTAAGCAGAGCGCTAACCCCTCTAGTCCAGTCATTTAAATTCCCCGTGGCTACGTCCCTCTGAGTAAAAC